ACAACAATAAAAATAATAAAAATAATACTCCTCCTTTATTCTAAAATAATATTTATGTAAATCTTTTCCTAAGATCTAATCAGTGAATCTTGAATTAAGTTTTATTTCTCTTTATCAAACTAATAACATTATTTAATCTCTGTATTTCGGTGGTATCGCTCCACAGGTAACCATAGAAACAACAGTGATGCTCCACAAACATCAGAGAAGTTTAGATCGTGGGGGGAGCTGCTCTGGAGCAGGTCGACGGTTCTGAGCTTCTTCAGTCCTCAGGAAACTGACTCAACGTGTTGTCGAGGAGTCGAAGACCCGAGTGACTCTCTTCGTCTTCGTCCATGTGAGGACATCATCATCGAGCTGCCTGGAGACCAGCAACATGTTTACATCAGAGACACACAGACGCTACACAGAAGCTGCTCCGAGGCCGCCCTGCTCTGACACTGATGTTTGTACCGTGTGTTCTCAGGTTTCACAGCTTTTAGTTAAATTACACAGAGGAGCACACTTACGTAAGACTGACACAACCAGGACACGCCTGTGTCAGGTGAGCACACATTACAACATCTTTCAGGTAAGACAGTGATGTCATCGGTCAATAGGAGTTTCTGGATAAGGTTAAATGTCAGTTTGCACATCAGTCCGTCAGCGTCTGTTTGAGACCGACTGTAAATAAAGATGGAAGGTGTGTCTCTACTTCCTCCCACTACCCAGAAAGGAAGCCAAATTACTAACGCCACCATCTTGTGCTTATTTGGAGCCAGAGTCTGTGGAGTAGTTGAAGTCATGAATCATGACGTTTCATCGTGTTTAACTTGAATTAACTCATTAAAACCAAAAACCATGTGGATCATCTTTCTGCCTCTGTTTGTTCATCATGAAAAACCCAGAGTGTAAATAAAGATGAACGACAGACAGATCCTCAACAGTGAATCCAAAAACTCGTGATCGCCCTCTGGTGGCTGGCTGCAGTATTGCCTCCTCCGTGTTAGCAGATGGGACATGGACCGAACTAAAAACAATCAGAGTAGATATTAGAAAGAAAATTGAAGTGACTTTAAATTAGTGTCTCTCAAAGATGGTTTCTGTCATTTTAGGTATTTCTTATCACACTGATGTTTGTTCAAGTGTTTCTGATGAATTTGGTTATAATTAGTTATTTGATGTATAAAAATTATAATTATATATGATATGATATATATGATATAAAAATGAGCAACAATAAATAAAAAAGAAAGAAATACTTCCAGCTCTTAGGCTCAAGATCGCAACATGCATATCCAGTTTTGGCTGTAGATGCTATTTTACCTTCACTTTTGAACATCTGGGGGATGTAGAGACGTGCAGTCTAGATTCATTTATTATATTATATAAAATTAATGATTTTTATAAATCTGTGATTTACAGAAAAACACGCCACTGCCATCTAGCGGTTCATCTGAGGCTTTTATTGTGGAGAATGCAGCGGACCGGAAGTCCTGACTGGCGGGTAAAGTCAGTGACCTCCGTGATGGCGGCGGGTCGAGGGGAGTTCTTCCGGAGCCTGTGGACGGGTCTGGAGACTCTGTCTCCTCCAGGAGGACGACCAGCACCGCCGGGACGCGGCAGAGCGATGCCCAGGCCGGAGAGAGGACCTGCGGGCAGCCGAGGCTGGAGGAGGCCGCCGAGGGCCGCGTCGAGCCGAGTCACCGGGAGGTCACCGCCGCCGCCATGTTGGAATATTGTTTACACGTTTTCTTTCCTCCGCAGTTTGTTCATGTGTTTATTTGTGTTTCAGCTTCCGGAGAGAAAGAAAAGAGAGAAAGTCAACAGATGTCCTCCAGATGAAGCCTCCTCAGCCCAGAGACGTCCACCTGGACAGGTGAGTTTGTCTCCACAGGTCCAGTCCAACTTCACATGTCTGTCTCTTCGGTCAAACTCAGCTCACATATGAATATTAGTCACTGCTGTGAAGGAATAAGATGATTAAACCAACACGAGTCATATTCAAAGACACTTTCAACTTATTGGACCTGATAATTAATTAAAACTTCATTTAAATAGTTTGTTTCTATAGAAAATCATTTTCAATTAAACCTTATTGATACAAAAAAATGGTTAATACAGTTACAAGATAAATAATATGAGATGACGTCACAGATTAAAGTTCAGACTCGAGCTGCAACAACAACAATTAGATAAATAACTAAGTCTGTTGAATTCAACATCTCCTGACTCGAAGACGTTCCACAAACAAAACCAAAATATCTCAGATACGAACTCTACCATCTCGTGCATTTCTGAAACTTATCAGAAACACGACAGTTGATAAGAACAAACTAAAATGACAGAAACCATCTTTAAGTAATAATTAATTACGGTCACTTTTAATTAGATTCACCTGCTGCCTCATAACGACGTGCAGCAGTGACGAGAGAAGCTGTTGATTGGCTAAACCACAGTTGTTGTCAGTCGTTTGCAGTAACGCCTCCATGCTCCCTCTTCAGGCTGCCGCCGGAGATCCTGGTGAAGATTCTCTCGTTCCTGGACGCCTCCTCGCTGTTCTGCATCAGTCATGTCAGCACGCTCTTCCACCAGCTCGCCAACGATGAGTACGTTTGACAGTCCGTCATGTCGATGAAAGAATTCTGATTAAAAAGTGATGTCCCGTTCACTGTGACCTCGTGTTTCTCCCACTGCAGCGGCCTGTGGAAGAAGATTTACACCTCGGAGTTTAGGAGTCAGACCTGGAGGCCAAAGTCGGCGCATGATGCAGCGAGTCGGGTGGAGGAGGAGGAGGTGGAGGAGGAGCAGTCACTGGGACACTGGAAGAAGATTTACTTCAGCACACTGGCTGGACGAGAGGTGAATAAGTGGAAGAGAGAGCTGAAAGACATCAGGCTGTACACGGGGCTGCCCCGGCAGACAGAGTGGCTCCTCAGGTACGACGAGAAAACTGGAGCTTAAATTTCAAATGTAAGAGGTCGTCTGATGCCTCCACACCAGCAACACCCAGTGGCCAAGGGTGGAAAGGTTTTCTCGCTCTAAAGCTTCTTTTCACGTCTTGTTTAAAACCATCAGATGTGATTCTCCTCCGCTGTGTCTCTTCAGGACCCTGAACGTGAGCTGGGAGCTGACGCTGTGCGACTGCTGGGGGCAGGAGACGGTGCTGCAGGAGAGTCGAGTGCACTTCCTCGATTCCTCAGTGATCGTCCGCTGGAGCGAGGGCGTCTTCCCCAGGTACCGTCACATCAGCAGCCTCCAGGTGCACGGCGTCAGGAAGGAGATGCAGAAGAGCTCCAGAGTCAGGTAGAAGGAGACATTTTCCTCAACGTCTACAGCACCTCCTCTCCTCCACCCGTCCTCCCTCTCCTCCTCCATCAGGCCCAGCTGGAGGTCTCTGATTTTAAAGCTGGACATGGAGACTGAGCGTCGTAGCATCATCGGCAGCGACAAACTGATCAAACTGATACTTCTGTCGCCGGGCGTCATCATCGGCAGCTGGAGGGTGAGTCTGTGATGGAAAAACCAAATGATGCTCGAATGTTTTTGTAGAAGTTCTGAATCAAACTGTTTTGTGCGTGTGTGCGTGTGTGCGTGTGTGCGTGTGTGTGTGTGTGTGTGTG